TATGCTGCCCCAACAAAAAATTCTAGGCAGTTTCAGTTTATAAAAATCATAAGAACAATGAATGACATCATCATCTAAATACCGGGCCACAGCAGCTGCTTCCCATTAAGTACCATATCTTCTGTTTTCCAGAAAAGTATCATCTCCACAGCCTTCCTAAATGTTAACATAGTAGGAGCCATCCCATAGTAGGAGCCATTCAGAGGATGGGAACTACAAGTGAGAAATCCTGTTAGTTAAAATATGAAAAGTTTGATGGCTACTTTTTCTTGTTATTTCTTTTTCACTAAGGAAGACTAAAATTGGCTCTAAAATCACAGTTTCTGACCGAACTGTTAGTTTATATTCTTCAACAGATTCTTTTAAAAAGAATCCAAAATTTGACATATCACCCAATAAAGTAATCATCCCAACCTTGGGGTAAATGGGAACCCAGTCCTAATATTTCTGGAGCGTTTCAGTTTGGGGACATGATAAAACAATGAAAACGCTCATCTCCTTTGGCACAGCACATGAATCATGCTGAATACCAGCAACAGATGTGGTTTATTTTGAGAGCATTGGGCCTCTTTTATATATTCATTTTGGTGATGTAAATAGGGTTTGTGGACCGAATGCAATTAAGGATTGCCAGCTAAGAGACGACACCACCTGAATGAACCTTCTGCCAATCTTACTTTTTCTCTGGAGGTAAAGCAAATGAAAGCAACATCTTCCTCTGAAGCATTTTAAAAAAAAAAAAAACAGCAACTGGCAGAGTGCATCTTGTGTGATGAATATTTTCCAAGCAGCAAGATGTAATGTTAATATATCTCAGCTCCAACTGGTGCCAGATAAGGTTTTGTGAGGACCTCCATAATGCTAATAATATATTCTCATGCATCTTAAACAGCCCACCGATTATTCCAACAGCCAGGCCTCCTAGGTACTTGGTCTTGACAAATAAAATGAGACCAGATGTCCTGATAAGTGCATACATTTTAATAGCAAATAAATGAGTCCTCGGTAGTTCTGCTCCTGTTAGCAAGGGAGTTGGTTTCCAGCTGCTTGTTTTTCTGCAAACAGCTGAATAAATACATTCCCTGTATAATATGATTTTCAGCAAGAAAATGATTACTTGGTAGTTCAAGCTTCAAATATATTTCCCCTACGATTGTTTATCTGGAAGCAGATGGGATATAGCTCAATGACTTTCTAATAACTTTGCAAACTCATCCTTGTGCAGAACCAAGTCAGAAACAGACAATTTTAGAAGAAGGTCTCCCAGGTGGTAGGTTGGCCTTTCCAGACCTAAACCTTATGAGAGTAAGTTATCCATACCCCCACCACCATCATCTTTGAGTTTGTCCAAAGGTTAAAGATTTGCAAATCCACTTCTACTTTCTAGTCTGTCCATAAAAGCAGTTAAAATGAGAAGGACCAGGAAAAGATTGCCAGAATTCGGCATGTCTAGTTTAATAAAAAGAAGGATTAGGGGGTAACATGATAGCAGTGTTGAGATATTTGAGAGGCTGCCACAAAGAAGAGGGGGTCAACTTATTCTCCAAAGCACCTGAAGGCAGAACAAGAAACAATGGATGGAAACTAACTGAGAAACAACCTAGAACCAAGGAGAAATTTCCTCACAGTTAGAATAATTAATCGGTGGAATGGCTTGCCTTCAGAAGTTGTTAATGCTCCTTCACTGGAAGCTTTCAAAAAGAGACTGGACAACCACTTATCTGAAATGGTATAGGATCTCCTGTTTGAGCAGGGGGTTGGATTAGAAGACCTCCAAGGTCCCTTCCAACTCTATTTTTCTGTTAAGACTTCCCCGGGAGGGGGGGGGGCTGCATCTTTTCAATTCCCTCTCCAGAGTTGCATCTGGTTTGCTACCACTGGCTTTTTTAAAAAAAAATAAAAAAAAATCTCAGAGTAAGTTTTTATCCCATTCCTCACTTGTATTAATTACTATGTGGTACTTAAAGAATATTGGTTTCTGCTGATTTGCCATTCTAGTTTGAATAGAATGGTTGCATTTGATTTGTTGTAGTTGAAGGCCTGATGTAAATCTCTGCGTGAATGGATAAATCTTAATGAACAATGATCCTTCTCATATACTCATTCATACTCATCCAGCCAGGACTGTGAAGTGTATGGGGCAGCACTGATTTATCTCAGTGAGTTGCCTTACAGCCTCTTTGTCACTTGGGATAATTAATAGAGTCTTGGGATAACTAATAGAGTTTCCCAATATTGCAGACATTGGAGGAGGCAATTGGAGCAGGTTACGTGATGCAACAGGCTTGCTTTTCTTTACTCTGGAAAGCAAGGGAGCTCCAGTGCTTCCCTTGTTGATTATAGTTTTATGCTTTTTGAAATAGCACCCACTTCACTTGTATCAAACGTACCCAATACATTTAATAGTCATATAGTAGATTGTTTAAGAGTTGTAAACATACTATCTATTTTCAGCCCTTAGGACAATGGCGAAGGCAAGGTTTCATGTTTAGCTTTGAGACATGCCAACTTATTTTTAATTCCCTGGGGGTTTTTTGGTTTTTTTTTTAAAGGAATAGTTTTAAAAAGTAGAGTGGGGCAGGGAGCTTGGTGGATCACAAGACTACATCCTCAGCCATTGTGGCACTCAATTTTCCTTTATAGATAGTCCTTGACTTACAACCACAATTGAGCCCAAAATTTCCATTGCTAAGCGAGACAGTTGTTTAGTGAGTTTTGCCCCATTTTACGACCTTTCTTGACACAGTTGTTAAGTGAATCGCTGAAGTTGTTAAGTTAGTAACACATTTGTTAAGTGAATTTGACTTCCCCATTGCTTGTGAGAGGGTCACAAAAGATGATCACATGACCCCAGGACACTGTAACCATCATAAATATGAGTCAGTTGCCAAGCATCCAAATTTTGATCACATGACCATGGGGATGCTGCAACGGTCGTAAGTGTGAAAAACGGTCATAATCCACTTTTTTCAGTGCCGTTGTAATTTCAAATGGTTACTAAATACACTGTTGTAAGTCACTGACTTCCTGTATTGGGAATCCTAAATATGAAGTTATTCTTTAAGAGAGACTCCAGGATGAAAGCAAGAGGCCTACTTCTAAATTCAAGCAGAGATGAGATTCAAACCAGGAGTTCTTGTTTCATTGTTCTTCTCTTCTCCAATATGCTACACCTGACGTCTAATGCAATGGATGGGAATCAAGACTGAAGCCATAAAAATTAAAGTTTCAACGCCACCAGACATTGCAAATCAGTTGATATTACTCATCATGCCCTTTCTTATGAGGTTATGAAAATGAAATCAGAAGAGTCACATATACTGTCTTAAGGGTGGGGAGGAAAACAGGATAAAAATGCAAAGTGCCAGTGCTAATTGCAATCTCATTCTCAAGAAAATGTTTTTCTATCTTCATCCCACATCCCCTTTAGAATTTTCAAAATCTGCTTAAGGCTGCAGTTTTATCCGCTTTTGGTTTTCATGGTTTATCTACTTTTAATTTCTGCACTGTTTGCTCATAACTGCTTGTAAATTGTTGGCACGTTATTATGCTTTCCTGTTTGTTTTAATTGTAGTCTTAATATATTCAAGCTACTGCAAGAAGGGTGAAATGCCTGCCATGCAATTTAAAAATGTATAAAATAAGCAAAGAAAATCCTGAATAAGTGAGCATGTCAGCTCCACTAAGTTGTTCCTCAATCAGGACAAGACTGAACGAGATTAACCGCTTGTACCTATGGTGGTTCCCTATTTGCTTTTGGTTATCATCTATTTGGTTCTGAAAGATAGCAGCCTTCACCCTCGGCTGCTTCTAAGAAAACATTATTGAGGAGGTATGGTACTGTTGCTTCACCTTAGGAAGTCTATAAAACATTTTTTTTTATTATGGGCTGAATTTCCCATAGTTGGAATTTTTTTTAAAGGAGCGGTTTCCTGAGAACCAGTTTAGTGTAGTGATTAAGGCACCAGGCTAAAAAACAGGAGAAGGTGAATTTTAGTCCCAATTTTAGCATGAAGCCAACTGGGGGGGGGGGACTTTGAGCCAATCCTTTCCCCTCATCCCTAAAAAGGGGACAATGGCAAACCACTTCTGAAATCTTGCCATGAAAACTGCAGGGACTCATCCAGGCATCTCCAGGAGTCCATACTGACTCAAAGGAACAAAGAAAACACGGATACACAGACACACACAGACACACAGACACACAAACAAACAAACACACACACACAAGGTGGTCTGCCAGCCATTTGTATTTTGGAAACTCTTTGGTTGCCAATTCTTCGAATTCTGCCCTCCCCACCAAGCCAAGTTCCCTATAAGATAATGGAAGTTTAGTCTTTCTCTGTTGGAAGAATCAGACCTGGAAATGGAAAGCAAGCTAAAATAAATTCCCTTCCATGAGCTGGATTATGTAAATGTGTTTTCTGGCTAAGTGAAAGACTTACAAGGCAGACCTTGGGTTCACTTCCCAATAAGGTTATTTTACACTGAGACCTTAATGTTATAATGGCTTCATGATCTTGAACAGGACAGCTTACCAGCCTGTGTGTAAATTGAAATGCAAACAGACGGGATGGAAATTATGAATCACTGGATCCATCATTTATGTATAAATCATCCAGAATCTTAAAAGCAAACACATTGTACATTAACTTTGACTGAAGCTTCCTGACTCAACATGCGTGAGTACAATGGAAGGAAATTGTCTTTAAAACTCAACTCTTCATAAAAGACAGATTCTATTTGGCAAGATTTCCTGGGATAACTAGAAAGGAAGATTTTTTTTAACTTTAAACGTTTTTTGTATTTTTTTTGTATAAGGCCATTTGTGACTCTTCATGGAAGATAATATGCAGTCTGAAATATGACAGTTCTATTGTTTAACTTTATTTATTGCTTTCTGTACTTTCAGTTTAGTAAGTAAAATTTTTCTTTGCACAAAAAAGAAGTGCCATTTCTCTTCACGTAGAAACAAAATGTTAAGTATCTTTTCTTTCCAGATAAAAATAGATCCAGCACAGGGAGAATAAAAGCCTTTCCCAGACAATGTTCTACCCGTGTTGCTGATAACCATCTGTAGCAAATGACAACAGGTAAGAACCTTCATTTCATCCAAAACCAAATGACCATCAAGATCCAGTTTAAGAACAAGATACAATTTTTATCAGAAAGGGAAGCCACTGAGGCCGTATGTCCAAATACATTTTAAAATATTACTTTTCCAGACTCATGAACTAGATGATTTGTGCTTATGAGAACTTTTTTTTTTGCACATACAAGGTTTCCTGTTTTATTTGGTGATATCCTGCTGAGGGTTTCCCAGTCCTTTGAAATAGACTGGAAATTTTATAGGAAGTAGAAACATCCCACTACAGAAAGAGAAGTCTGCTGACATAACTGGAACTTACAGTATCTGTCACATGCTTCCTTTCTCAACTAGTATTATCCTATTTGAGCAAGCACTTATCTATTAGTATATTGATACTGTTACTGATGTGTTGATGATATATTGATACTGCTGTTATCATGGTGCCCAGGGTGCTCAGATGTTCAGGATCTCATATTCCATTTTAAATTTCAAAAGGCCGGTATTCTGCAAAGAAAAGAATCAGCTGCGAACATCATCTTTATTTGTAACAATGGTCTGGTCTCCAAATAGCCTCAAAAGGTTTATAGAAAGTTAAAAAATGATGGTTGGCCTGCAGTGATTACTTTATCTGGAAGTAAACCAGTCGCTCCCAAAAAGATGAAAAGTATGGTAACAGAGAACAATTCATGCAAAAGAACTAGAAGGGATGATCAGTAACCTTATAGGAAATAAGTGCTTTTTAACCTGTTGTATTCTTTATGGCTGATATATTGTTAATGGGACTGTCTGCCCAACACCAACTCCCCCCCTTTTTTTGCAAAATTTCCATATAATTTCAAAAATCCCATCCCTGTTTGCTGTTCCAAAAGAGTTGAGGAACCTAAGTCTGAGGCAATGCATGAATCCAGATACTGAGGTACAATCTATCTCTGATTCTTCATTTCTACAAAGCCAGTCACAATGGTCTTCTCCAAATCATTCCTTTGTCCTGAGGACAAAGTTTCCCCAGCATATCCCTAGAGTTTCATTATATTCTGTAATCAAGTTGGCTGAACAAGATGGATGAGTTCCTGGAGATAGAAAAAAATCAAGCAGATTAGTAATGTTTCACAAAAGGAATCATGAAGCAATTGAGCACAATTGCTGATCCACTGCCAATGTTAAGTATGGCATAGCTAGTAAAGATTGATCTTACCTTTATATCCTTGCTCTATCAGATGAGCCAAGAATTGTATGTTTTTACACTTCTTGCTATTGGATTTCTGTAAATTAGTCTATCAGTTCTGGTGTATCTGAAGCCACAATAAATGGCAAAGGGAGAATGGGCAAGGAATATGGACAAAGTATTGAAGCCAACTTTCCTTTTTAAAAAAATAAATAAATAAATTGTCCTCAACAGCAGTGGAAGGTTGAAATGAGATCCAGGTACCAACCTGGTTGATATTTCTGTGTATTATTTGTGAATTTAATGTTGAACATGGGATTGTAGTTCATGCCCTGATATCTTCCCATGACACTGGCATGATGGAAATTTGGGTATATTTTCATTTTACTGATTCTCAGCTTTTAAAATGTTTACTTCTCTGTGGTGTGTCCATACTCTTAATCAGCCCTGTAGCCCCATGGAAACACCACTTGTTGGTTTATAAATCTAACTATTTAATTTGAAACTTTTCAATGTCTTTGACTGCATTGGCCACTTCTCAAGACCACTGACTGAATCAATGGGCTGCAAGAGAAACTTTTGTTTTGGCAATCACTGTTGTGCTTTTCTTGGAATCAGTATTGGTACAGTGATTGTGTTATAGAAGCCAATGTGAAAAGGCCGTCCTGAGGATTTCAATGTGCAATGAACTACATTTTTCTTTCATCTTTTATATTGAAAATACCCACTTTAGGAAATAGAACTAGGTAGGTAGTATACTGCATCTGAATTCACAACATATTACACAAGGTGCACATTGTCTTGCCATGAAAGTCTGCAAGATTGACAGACAGATTTTGAATGCAGAAGGTGCTAGGTCCAATTTATGACATCTCCAGGCAAAAGTATCAGCCATATAGAGATGGACCAAAAAAGCGCTACTATACCGAAGATCCTCTACTACAGGGGTGTCAAATTGCCGGCCCATTGGCCAGATGCTTCATGCAGAAGCTGCACCCACCCCAGCTCCAGCAAGGGGGAAAATGTCACAATATGTTGCAACACGTCACATGACACGGCGAGTTTGACATCCCTGCTGTACTATTTGTAATGTAGGAAGTTACAGCATGCAACCCATGGAAATCAATGTGCCCTCAAACACTTTCCCAGTCAAACTCCTGGCTCCTCTTGACTACATTTGTTTTTCTCCAATTCCTTTTTTTACCTATGTATTTTTAAGGAAGCTGGCAAAGCATTTTTAGACAAAACTGGCAAGTTGCTGAAGCCCACATTTTAAAAGGCATTATAGATTCAGAAGAAAAGAGAGGAAGCAATAAGGTAGCAAAAAGAAAAAGTCTACCTCTCATCTAGATATTTATCTACTTATTTGTCTCTAATTATGTTAAAAATTCGAATCCTGGGTAAAGCCAAGCAATAAAAATAAATGCATAGGAGCACCAGGATAATATCAAACTAGAATTTGTTTAATAAAAATGCTGAGTTTTTGTCGGCCAGCACTACCGACATCATCAGAGCATGAAAGCAAGTCAATGGGAGTCCCCTTTTTATGATACCGGCCAGCTTTGCGCATGGCTCCTAGATCTAGTCATCGGTCCATCCAATATCCCTAATTGTTCTACTCTTAAAAGGTGTGCATTTGCTGTTCCCTTGGTGGTTTCTAAGGCTGCTGCTCCTCCATCTACCGTCCTTCCTCCAATCACTTCCCTCGTGCCTGTGCCGCTGTCTGCTAATGCTAATTTCTGAGGCTGCTGTTTTCCCTTCCCCCCTCACGAGGGAAGTGATTGGAGGAAGGAGGGTAGATGGAGGAGCAGCAGCCTTAGAAACCACAAAGGGAACAGCAAATGCGCACCTTTTAAGAGTAGAACAATTAGGGATATTGGATGAACCGATGACTAGATCTAGGAGTCATGCGCAAAGCCGGCCGGTATCATAAAAAGGGGACTCCCATTGACTTGCTCTCATGCTCTGATGATGTTGGCAGTACTGGCCAATGAAAGCTCAGCATTTTTATTAAACAAATTCTAGTTTGATATTATTCTGGTGCTCGTATGTATTTATTTTTATTGCATTTATACTTATATAGATACTATCTAGGTCTAGATAATCTAGATAAGATTAACAGTCTTATCTGATATACTGTACATGCAACTGAAGAAATGGGTGTTGCTTCTCAAATGAAAGGTGCCATGTTCAGTCCTTGTCTTCTTTTGTAAAAAAATATCTGATACAGAGCCAGAGGCTTTAAGGAGAGATAGACAGTTCCAAGCTAAAACCAGCAAGTGTTTCACAGCTTAAACATTGTATGCTTATTTTTCTAAGGTGGTGGGGAGGAATTCCTACATGATTTTATGAGAAACTTCTGCTAGTTACTGTCAATCAAAAACTGAGCAAGATGGATCAGTGGTATGACTCAGGAGCAGGCACTTTTGCATATGTTTCTTTTTTACTAAAAAGTGGTAGAACAGAAAATGTATATTGGTGCAATCATTGCTGAGGTACAGAATACAGCTTTGCATGCAGAATGTCCTCGCTGGGATCACTAGTTAAAAATTATTATCTTTGGAAGGGTAACAAAGGAAAATAATTCTTAGAATCTCACTGGAAACTGAAAGGTGGCATCTTGATTCCTCTTCCAAAGAAATCAGTATAACGTGTAGACAGAGGTCTGTAATCAAACCTGAAAATGTAAAATGACATAATCTCGTTCTACTCTGAATGGGCAGCTCCGGCCAACTAGAGATGGCAACAGGATTACTACTTTAAGTCCCTTAAGATTTTTACCCAGTTTGGAAAGATGCTGGCAAACTCTTTATCTCTCTCACATCAAAGGCTAGCAGAAAGGAAAACAATAGAAATAGCCTTTTCCTTAGAAAATTGCTAAGGGGAGACAAATTATAATCACAATTCCAGGTACAGGGATGATACTCTGGCCATATATTTTTGGTTACTATTTTATTTGCTTCTTTCAGTGTTTGAGCTATGTAACTCCTGAGGTGAAAAAACGCCACCAAAGCACACCTTAATAACTGGAGAGAATTCATCAATTGTTTTATTAAAACTAGCAAGTTTCAGTCAGTCACTGGTCTCCAGCTGTTACGAACCAGAGCGCCAATTGGCATATAGTAGCTTGTATATTGCGAATGTCACAATATCGTATGATTTCACAGAATCTGTTTTTAATTATGCGGTCACTTTCTCTTTTTTTGCTCCTACTGATATCTCTATTGCAATAATTTTGTTTTTCATTATGCTCTTTTCCCTGACATGGCAGTTAATCGGTTACTTAAGAAAAGCCAAAAATACTGCTTATTTGAAGGATCATTCACAAGAAAGATACATTTCGGTTTGGAGAAGATGGATAGATTATATTCAGAATAAATATGGGACTAAAAAGTTCCATTTACTTTATGAGTAAATTTTAGAGTATTATTATTATTAATAATAATTAACTTGTTTGTATTATTATATTTATTTTTAATTTGTTTATTTTTATGTTAAAGGGGAGTTAAAGCGCATTATGGACTTGGTTATTTACATAGTTGGTTAATGTTAGTTAGAGTATGATTATTATATTTGTTACCCTGTACTCAGCTCTGGGAAGTGGGGGAGGGAGAGGGGGGGTTTAGGGTGGGTGGGTTTTGGGGTGTATATTGTAACTTTTATAAAACTTTTCAATTAAAAAAAGAAAGAAAGAAAAGCCAAAAATAATATTACAACCTGGGGTCATATTGTAGCCCAAATCAATCTTTGTTATGTTTCTTTCAAATGAAATAAATAAAATGTGAAACACATTATAATATTTAGATATGTCCTTAAATTTGTTGGTTACCTTGCTTTATATAACATGCCTCTTACATCAGTCACTATTTCTTTTTCCTCTAGGACCAGCCTGATCACAGATTAAGACAGCCCAATATATGCATCTCTAAACAGACTTGATTGATAGATTATATACCATTAGATTGGTGTCATCTCTTAGCAACCTCATACTGTAGATAGATCTGGAATGATCTATCTCCAACCTGGTCCTTTGGGTGTGCCCATTATCACTATAATTGAGTCCATCCATCTTGCTGGTCATACTCCTTTTTCTTTCCCTCCACCTTTGCCAGCATTATAGAGTTCTCCAAAGAGTTGAGTCTTCACATAATCTGTCTGAAGTAAGACAATTTGAGCCTGGTCATTTGTACCTCCAGTGAGAACTCTGGGGTGATTTTTGTTTTCTTTTGAAGATTTGTTTGAACAAACCACAGGCAAAATATTAATAAAATTGACATATACATATACATATACAGTGGATATATATCTCCACTGTCAATTCTAAGGCTGATTCTTCTATCTGTTGTGATTAGATTTGGAATTTTTTATATATATTTAATTTTAATACCATCTTTCCACTCTGCTCTTTAATATTTAGCACTAGAGCATGTATTCCATTTGCATTTTCTCGTATCTTTTTCAAGTACCATCAGCAAAGCAAAGATTATTCATGTTTCTTCCTCCACTCTTAAAAGCCACCCTCATCTTCTTCCTAGCCAGTTTCCTTCAATATATATTCCACATAGAAGCTGAATAGAGAAGGAGAGAGTGTGTAGCTTTCTCTCACCCCTTTCCCAACCCAAACTTTGTCTGTTTCACTGTGTTCTACCTAGACTGTGACTGACTTGTACATACATTTCAAGTGAGAAGTTCTGGGCTTCCTATTTTTCTAAGTACATCCCATAGTTTGACTTCTAGCAGCTCTCTTAAATGTTTAATTTTATTTTTATGATCTTTCACTTTCTTAGTCTTGGTTTCTCTTCTCTGCTTTGCAGTCTCCATATGTTGTTGTTTTTCCCCCTCACATCCAGTTTGCATTCTTCTGTTTCTTGAACTCTGGCAATCTGAGTTTGTGTTCATCCTTCACACTTTGTTAAGTTCATTACATAGTTCTTCTGGTTTCCAATCACGAGGTTCAATATTTCAAAGCATTTCCTGATGTTCACCCTAAAAATTGTGGGTTTATAGAATCATAGGACTGGAAGGGATCTTGAAGGTCTTCTAGTCCAATCCTCTGCCTATGGTAGGAGACCTTTTATCATCTCAGACAAATGCTCAAGTTTCCACCAGTATTGTGGAAACTGATTGGCTTTCTTCTACTATTTTAGCTTAATTTGAAACTTGCACATGAGCAATTTGTGATTTGCTTTAAAGTCAATCCCATATCTTTGCCATTATTACTGACTAAGCAGCTTAGAGAAAAATAAATTGCTTTTGAAGTTCTATCTGGAAATAAATCTGATCAGGATTAGTGCATTCTCAGTGCTGTCATGTTTTCAGTCAACGTTTTATGCATGACTACATTCATTTGACCCAATGTGTTTTAGTTGTTATGTGTGGTAAATCTTTTTCTCTTTACATTCTGCTAAAAGAGCCTATTTGGTATAGTGGTTAAAGCATCATGCTAGAAACCAGGAGACCAAGTTTTAGTTCCAACTTAGGCATGAAGCCAGCTGGCTGCCCTTAGTCCAGTCATTATCTCTCAATCCTAGGAAGCAGGCAAAGGCAAATCACTTCTGGAAAAAAAAATGTTGCCAAGAAAACTGCAGGGACTTGTGCGAGCAGTTGCCAGGAGTCAACAATGACTTGAATTAATAATAATAATAATAAAGGTTTGTGGAGCATGCAAAAATATTTCAGACAAGGGAGGAAATTGCTAGTGGTGGTTCAGTGTCATAAACATATTAATGGATTATTTAAAGAAAACAAAACTTGTGAGTTACCCCAAAGAAATCTATGGCCATGCCTATCCTCTCAGTTCCGCAATATTTAGTAAGCCATTCCAATCAACAAAATGGCTCAGGAAGAGAGCAGACAGAGAGGCCTGCCAATAACAGATCACTGTTATATAAAATAAACTCTATATAAAACAAGATCAGCACAGGATGTTTCTCTGCATCAGAAATAAGTCATGGGAGCAATCAGATCAACAAGCAGTTCCTGTGAGACATATGGGCTTCCTGGAGAGCTTTCCAACAATAATAGTTTCATCAAGTGCAATGTAGAAATTCAAGTAATATTTTTATTGAGCATGCCCTGGCTGGATACAGCACTTGTCTCAATCTAGCTAGTTACAATCCCATATAAAATATATTTAAAACACACACAAACATACACACAGAGAGGGGGGGGGAGGGAGAGGGAGAGAGTTACCATGTGTATACATTTTTTCCTGTGCTTCAAAAAATGTAGACATTTCAAACTATAGCCACTGTCTAAATTAATTAAACCTTTGACACATTCTCAAATGTATCCGTGCCATGGTATGTCTTTTCCAATGCTGTTGTGTTGATGAGTCATACCGTTATTTATTTATTTATTTTTTGTAATTAATCTGGGAAAAAAATATATGCTTCAATGGATAGGTCTGATCTGTATTCCTCTAGAAACCCTACTGAAAATGTCCATGTAGACAAAGCTGTAAGTTAGAAAACCATTTCAGATTTCAATGATGAACTCCACTGAAGACCTAGCAAGGGAGAAGACGCAGTGCTTTCAAAATTGCATGCTAAAAGAGTGGCATATTTTAAGAGCATTTGTGATGAATGTTTCTTTACATTTGGAATCCTCATAAGAAGCATAGAAAATGGCATTTAATCTAAACACAAAGGGCCTCCTCCCCACTTTTATACTCTAATATGGAAATCAGCCAGATTGTAGGTAACAACAGGGATACCGAGACACAGTTAAATAGCCAGAAGCAAAGTGATGGATACTCACCTATGCATAGAAACTCTGCCTTCCATATTTATTTTTCTAGGTCAATTTAGGGTGTTAATGTTATCCTTTCAAGCTCAGATCAAAATTAATTTGGACTATCTGAGGTCTGCCTTTGTTATGGTGAACTGCCTGGACATTAAGAGTAGTAGAAAAGTTATTTCTAAAGATGTCCCTGCATGAAAGATATGGCTAGTCATATATATTAGGTAATGCTCTCTTTCTATATACTCTGCACATTCTGTATGCATTTCTTCTGTAACTAAATTGAACCTGCACTCTCTCTGCTTTTAGAAAAAGCCATCAATTCATCTCTTTTTAGTATAGCCTTTTGAATGATTTTTATGATTGTGCCTAGTGTGTTATAATTGTGTCTTCTGTTTTTAGAATTTTCCTTGTGTAATTGTTGTTAATTGACTAGAATACTCTACTCAAATAGAAAACTGAGAACCCAAATCTACCAAGGATATGGAATCACTGCCAAATCTGGGGTTGTCACAAAGCATCTTCAGTTTTATCTGTGGACAGAAAAACAGAGGAAACAGTTTCACCAATAGGCTCTGACAATGGGCACTTCCACACTGCCACTATTATTACTTCCCAATTTCTCAAAAACATGTTGAACATCTACCAGTCTTCAAAGGTTGAAAACGATAGCAATAGCACTTAGACTTACATACAGCTTCACAGTGCTTTTACAGCCCTCTCTAAGCGGTTTACAGAGTCAGCATATTACCCGCCCCCCAACAATCTGGATCCTCATTTTACCATCCTCGGAAGGATGGAAGGCTGAGTCAACCTTGAGCCAGTGAAATTTGAACTGCCAAACTGCTGGCACCCAGCAGTCAGCAGAAGTAGCCTGCAGTAGTGCATTCTAACCACTGCACCACCAGGGTTCAAGAAGCAAATTCTTTCATTTCATCACTGCCCCACCTGTTTGCCACAAGTACTAGACTCAAGAAATAGACATCCCTTCACATCCACATTATTAAACAAAATGAAACAATTTATTGCATCTACCATATCCATATCTAGGTTGCATAAATTTGGCAATACATACACACACACACACACACACACAGAGAGAGAGAGAGAGAGAGAGAGAGAGGCAGGGAGGGAGGGAGGGAGGGAGAGAGAGAGAGAGAGAGAGAGAGAGAGAGAGAGAGAGAGAGAGAGAGAGAGAGTCCTTATAATCTTGAAGTCTAACTATTGTTTCCTTGAGCAATCTGTTATGGTCTGAAAGTGGAAGGCAGGGTAAAGAACTATGTCCTACAAATGGTTAAATAGACCCCCCCAAGCTCCACTGAGTTACTGTTTCAAAGAAAATAGTGGTTTTGCTCCAGTTTAAGTACACACACCCAAACCAAAAATGTATCGACTTGATTTTTAAACAAGCAATATTGGGGGATCAAACGGGAACCAATTCATTTTTTTTAACTGATGCTAAGTTCTATTACCCTCTTGAGCCTCAAAATGAGGAGACAATTTCATTCTTTCAAACTCCTGCAATTTGGTTTGGATTTCTCCAGCTCGTAGAAAGGAAGTGGCTATGAAGAGTGGCAGCTATATATCTTCTGTATAAGAGGGAGAAACAGGAGAAAATGGAAAATAAGGGGCATTCTTAGGAAGGGTGAAAAGGAAAATCTTTCAGAATTTGTTTCCTTAGAAAAATTTCTTTGGCAAAATTTGGGCTTTTCTAGCCAGAATCGCCTGTTCTTGGAAAATTATGCATGTAGGTTTAGAATTACTTTAAATATTTTCACTGCAGAGCAGATTGTTTTTAAAAGTTGCGTAATCTTGAGATGGAGAGAATTTTTGCCCCCACTTTTATATAGATTAGCCTTCCCCTACTTCTGATTTCCAAGATCAGTTTGGACTATAGCTCCCAGAATTATCAGCAAATATAGCTGTTGGATTTATTAGCTTGGGATTCTACTAAACATAATTCCAAAACAATAGGACTACAAATTGAAGATGGTGGATATACTGTATGCAGTAAAACGATATGTCACAACACGTGCATGAGTCTTTAGCCATAATAATTAAATCCAAGGTCCAGCTTTTACAAGACAAGATTTTGCAGAGGAAGACAACTTCAGTGGTCTCTCTCGATGCACCATGATATTTATCTGATCAGAGAGACGATGTTGAAGAAAAGGAAAAGGGATCTTTTCTGATCCAAAAGAGATTCTTTTTTTCCCTGAATGCAAGAAGCTAGTCTAGTCTTCCATCTACATGTTTTACATTGAGAAGAGGGCTTGTCTTTTGCCTAAAATAAAAATATACTGTCCTGGGAATTTGGAAATTTGAATCATACTTATGGAGAACAACCTCCAAATGTGCTTCAGCCAGAGCCCCTTCTGTTCCTTCCTCGCCTCCTCAGCACTGAGTCACAGTAAGATCCTGTAGCTTTCTCTACAAATTGGTTTGTTTTGGCTGGAATTGGATGGACCCATATGTTACCACCTGCTGCAAGTCCTCAACTTTACAACAGCTTGGTTTTTTTGATCTCAGAACAATTTGTTCAGCGGAGAAGGTAAAACTCACGGTGAGGGCGGAATGTATTCCTCCTTCTAGATAAATAACTGTGAAGTGTGTCTAAGTAGCAGAAGTAAATCCAATACACACCGGAGGCCCTGGGCTAAAGTTGCTAAAAGATTGTCTTGGTCATTTTAATGGGCCTTCCTTTCCTATCTGCCACTAATAGTTCATTGATTCTGTTACCCAGAAACCAAAGGTATATGTCTTCACTTCTGAGGTAGTAGGGCATATTGTTCTCTGAAGATTTTATGGCTTGGAAAGGATGTAACCTTTATTTACTGAACCTGGGCAAGTGGCTGTTTCTCACTGAAACCCAGTATGCCACATTGTTATGAGGGTGACATACTACTTGGAACTTTTTGAAAAAATTATGTAATGTAAACAAAACAAAGACAAATAAAAGTAGTTGGTATATGCAGGACCATTCATTTTATACAAAAGAAACTTCTGAAATAAGATACAGTAATTGTGATTATCCATAATGAAGGATATATTATACTGAAGCATATATTATTATTACTACTGTATTTACTAACAGTGATACTCATTGCTTTCCTCTGAAGCAAAAAAGGGGCATTAATAGTTGAAGGGGAATATTCTAAAAACAAGAAGAGACATGACTTGATTCATATATTGTTTTACAGTTAAGAACATTGGCACAGGAAGAATACGCAACTATATCAGACCTTTATTTTTTTGCAGTGGTAGGTCACAGGCTTTGCTCCTGATTTTGAATTAATATAACCACTACCTATTCTGATGTTCTGAGTAGACAGTTAAATTAGTTTTGCTGTAATAATAATTATTGTGAAATTGCAAGAATTCAGGAAGAATTCACATTTTCTTTTGAAAATCAGTGGGTCACAAATATGCAGCTTCAGTGCATAATAATAAAAGATGGCTGCTACCACTTGAGACAGGCTTTTGAGAGCAGGCAACAGAATTTCATTTTTAATGTGTGCCAGTGTGTCCACAGTAAAAAATAGTAATAAAGGTTATCTCTCTTTTTGGGGAGGGAGGAAGGGAGGGAGGGAGGGAGGGAGGGAGGAAGGAAGGAAGGAAGGAAGGAAGGAAGGAAGGAAGGAAGGAAGGAAGGAAGGAAGGAAGGAAGGAAGGAAGGAAGGAAGGAAAAGGTCCTTTCTAGTGAAAGAAAGGAACAATTTAAACTACAACCCTGAAAGTACATAACACTGTCTTCTTTTTTGTTCCTGGATTTGTTCATAATGCTAATCCAGAGTTCTCTTAACCAGGATTGATTGATTAAGCTGTAATTGATTAGGTTTACTACTATTTTATTAATACTACTTTGTGAACTATGGCTAAGATTTCACAACACACTTAAGACAAAAACAGACAAATTATATTATGGCTCTTTGTGATGGATGAAACTCACATTCATCTGTGCACCACATGTGAAGCAATGAGTAAAATCAAACATATTATAAAAAACTACAAGTAGAATGTAATTTCAAGAGAGTCTGAGAAGTTCAAGGCATCAAGTGCCATTCATTCCATCAATTGTGAATTGCCTTCATGGTGATGCAGAAATCAAAACAACAGGAAAAATGAATTATATGCAGTATAAAAGCATGAAAGAGACAATCTAGAAAAGCTATAGTATTGTAATAACAAAGATTTATAGTAACACAGGCAGCAATAATATTTGTTAAGAGTTGTACTATAATATGTTGATTTTGCCAGCTAGCTAACCTAACTTTAATGTATATTTATTTATTTATAAGATTTATTCTTGTTGCAATCAGCAAGACTCTCAATAATTTACAGTATATGTATTAAAAATACAATAAAACAAAATAGGTCAAACAAAATGAAAAACAAATATGCAATACGTTAAAATATCCATGTCAAACAAATAAAACAAATTTTTATACAAGTCAACTATCTCCATATAAACAATTACAAAACCAATAAAACTTATTGTGATGTTTCATGCCCCACAAATCTCTTAAAGAGCTCTATTTTTAACAACTTGCACAAAGCTAACAGCATGAGAGCTCACCACAGATCAGGGTGAGGCAGGCAGATGTACCACAATGGACAAACCAAAATAGAAAAGTTGTCCCTGCATGCTTCTGTCCTCTCACTTTACAAAAATGGGGAACCACTAAAAGTTCTCCTGAGATGCACCAGTGAAGCAGGTTGTAACTGTTAAGCAAAGAAGATCTTCTAAGTATCTTGGTGCCAAATAATGTAGGACTTTAAAGATTAAAAATAACACTTTGAATTTCATCAAAAGCCTATGGGAAGCCTGTATTCTAGAAAAGCCATGAAGAAGGTACACATTACAAGGAGTTTACACTCCAGATAGGACCTGAAATTCTACTATTGCAATTTTTCAACACAACAACATAAAACTGATAGATTTTGATTGACTATGTGCCATCAAATCATTTGTGTCAAGTGCTGGGAAAATCAGGAGATTCAGGTAGTTCAAATGAGTATAAAGATTTATTGCAAGCTTAAGCTCTCTATAAGAATCTGACCAACTGGCAGTTAAGGGAAATGAGCAGGAGATAAGAAAGGCATTCAAGGTGGGCTGGACTTCGATCTCTTGCAGGCGACCAGAGACCTGTGACTTATGATCCATTTGACCTCTCCCTCGGGCTCAGCATGATCATCTCCTACAGTTTGTGGCTCCTAATGACCACATAGATAGATTTTTTTCCATGAAATATAAAATAGAAATACAAAAGTAACATAAAAGGGATAGCAGATTGTATGGACAATTTTACCTCAAAAAAAGTGGGACCAACTGACCTCAACAGGCTATTTCTGTTGCTAATAGCTTCTGCCCATGTTCTGGGCATAGCCAAAAACTGCTATTAAGCAAAGAAAAACATTACAGACATGCTACTTTGTGAAGAGACTTCAAGAGGTACTCCAGTTATTAGACAAACACACACACACAGGTTTGGTTGATTATGGATTTTAATATTACTATAGATAGTCAATTGTT